GCCCTAGACGTGAAAGGTTTTAATTTCTGAGGGTTTGGTCCCAAATCTCTCTTTCAATTATTTAATTTAATTGTTTGTTTATTATTTTCCTTTAAGTTACTATCGTGTGTATTTTATTATTAGAAAGAGGTACGAGGCATCAAAGTAAGTATTTTAATGGTTTTTAATTGATATTATGATGTAGATATCATGTTTATATTGTTATTATGATATTCCTAGTATCATGTCTAGGGTAATTTAATATTAAATATGATTGTTACGATGCTTCTTATGTTCTTCCTAATACTTATGATTGTTAGTATCATGTTAGGGTTAAAGATTTGATTTTTATTGCTTAGTGACATGCTAGGGTTTGTTATAAATCTTGTTAGTATCATGCCTAGGATCCTGCTATTATTATTATGCTTTAATATTAACATGAACATGATTATGATTATAATTGTTATAATTTATGATGATTATGAATCTTATTATTATTATTTTGATGATTATTATTTTATTTATGACGATTATTATTATGATTATTATTTTTATGATTATTATTATTTTGATGATGATTATAATTTTATTGTCATGATATTTATTATTATTATGTTGCTTGATATTTATTGTTATTGCTTGATCACGCCTTTTATGAATGTTTAAAGGGAATTTGTACTTGTAATCACGCTTATATAAGATAATTAATAATCTTTTTAGGGTTAATTGTGATTATAATTTCAAGTGATCGCCAATAATATATTTATTTGTGCATTATATTCAACCAACATAGATAAACAGGTTTAGGGTTAAACCTATTAATTGCATGTTAGTTAGAAAGCGCACATGAATACGATCTGAATAAAGTAGAGGCCTATTATTAGGGCAGGTTCAATCTCTTTTAGGTTGGATTTGTACCTTCATCCCCGAATTACCAGTCATGGTTCCAGACCTATTGGAGTTAACGATCTCTTGGATCGTTAAGGGGTGTAACCTTCACCTCGTGAACAGTTTACAAGTTCCTAAAACTTGTTGGCGACTCTTTCGCTCTATCTTCTTCCCTTTTGGACGCCACCGTACTTTAGTGTGTGATCACAGTGGGGTTCAAGCTAGGGGATTAACGCTTGAATTTATTCCCTACAGTATAGGAATAAAGAAATTGTTTGATTGAACATTGAACCTATTTCATGCAAGAACTGTATTATTTTGTTTTTGGGGAAGGGAATTCTTTTCTAAATCTTTTCTTTACATGCTGTAGGGAATATTTCAAGCGTTATTCCTAGCTTGAACCCCACTGTGATCATACACTAAAGTACAGTGGCGTCCAAAGGGAAAGAAGATAGAGCAAAAGAGTCGCCAACAAGTTTTAGGAACTTGTAAACCGTTCACGAGGTGAAGGTTACACCCCTTAACGATCCAAGAGATCGTTAATTCCAATAGGTCTGGAACCATGACTGGTAATTCGGGGATGAAGGTACAAATCCAACCTAAAAGAGATTGAACCTGCCCTAATAATAACCCTCTACTTTATTCTGATCGTATTCATGTGCGCTTTCTGACTAATATGCAATCAATAGGTTTATCCTAAACCTGTTTAATCTATGTTGGTTGAATTTAATGCACAAATAAAACTATTATTGGCGATCACTTGAATTATAATCAAATTAACCCTAAACAAGATTATCAATTAACTTATTAAGCATGATTACAAGTACCAATTCCCTTTAAACATGCATAAAAGGCGTGACCAAGCAATAACAATAAATATCAAGCAACATAATAATAATCATAACAATAATCATAATAATAATAATAATAATAATTATAACAATTATAATCATAAAAATAATCATAATCATGTTAAAGCATAATAATAGAAAGATCCTAGGCATGATACTAACAAGAATAATAACAAACCCTAGCATGCCACTAAATATTAAAAATCAAAGCTTTAACCCTGACATGATACTAACATGAATATTAGGAAAGAATATAGGAAGCATCATAGAAATCATAATTGACATTATATTCTTTACCCTAAACATGATACTAGGAAGTAATAAAACATCCTAACATGATACTAGGAATCAAAATAACAACGTAAGCATAATTTCTATATCATAATATCAATGCAAGCAATTAAAGCACTTACTTGGATGCCTCGTATCTCTTTCTTATAACAAAATACACGCGTTAGTAACTTCAAGGAAAATATAAAACAAACAATTAATAAATTAAATAATTGAAATAGAGATTTGGGACCAAATCTTTAGAAATATCAAACCTTTCACATCTAGGGCGAAGGCAACTTCGAACTTGGCTAGGTATGTCTAGTGCTAATGTATGAGGAATTGTGTTTGTAAAAGGCTAAGCTAGAAAGAGAGAGAGAATCAAGAAATTCTTGATGAGAGTTCATGATAGAGAGAATAAGAAAGAATAAGAAATAATGAGAATTGATTATTGTTGAGAATTGATGATTCTATATGATTTAAAACGGAGTTTTTAGGAGGCTATTTATAGAGAAAATTAGCCAAAAAGATAGAAAATCGAAAAAACAGAGTTAGTGCCAGACGCTAATGCTAGCGCCAGGCGCTAATGCTGGCGTTAGGCGCTAACCATGTTTTTGAAGCGTTTTCTAAAATCAGATAGAAATTAACCGTACATGAGGATAAAATCGTATTTTCCTCAAAAACTCTCTTTTATTCCGATTAAAACTCTAAAAAGTCAACAAAAGTCAATTTATCAATGCTAATTAAATTAGGAATGAAAAGAACCTTCTAGAAGAATCTAGATGACTAAAACCATTCCTAATTGAATTAAGAATGATAAATCCATATTTGGCCCTCCCTTAGATCATTGGGCCGCATATAATGTTCAAACCGAGCCCAGTTTAGTAATTTGACCATAACTTCCTCAATATTCATCAGAATTGGGCTTATATTATATCGTTGGAAAGCTCTTTTCAAGCCCCATCCAACTACACTACTATTGGACCCATATCATGGACAAACCAAACTAGATTGGCTGTTTTCTTAAAATAAGTTTTCAAAAACAGAGAAAAGAAAAAAAATTAAAACTATCCGCAACACTAGACTTTCCACACTTTAACTTCATTCGATTATGATTCGACGTGAAAAGTACTCATCATCGGGTTTGGTTTTGGGGAGACACAAATGGGTGTCTACACATGCCAAACCTACCTAACAGATTCGCCAAACTAGGAACACTCCAAAAGAAACCTAATGAACATTCTTACGATTATGTTCAAAAGATTCGTTTTTACTGTTCCTACAGGAGTAACATTTTAAGGGAAGGGGTTTTGATAGCCTTGATTGTTCGTTGTTTGCCTGAGGAGCCCCCATATTATGCTGTCAAAGCAAAATTTGATGGTTTCTACCTACAAGGGGACATCCCAAATTATTATAAATATAGGGACTAATATGGACAGTGGTACCCTGATTACAGATTCCTAATTTCCTACCTTGTCAGGGTAGAAAAAGCTCATTGCAGATAATTCAACCTTCCATACCTGATTATTACTATAAAAATTCGATGGGACAAGATACCCCTTATCCTAGCCATCAATCAGAGATTTGCTCTTCTTCGTCTTCTTCACATGGTGATCAAGTAGAGAATGGAGAGTAAAGGGACGTAGATAGTTCAATCATGGAGATTTCTAACCCAAATCCACCTCCAACTCCAATTATCATTGATATTTTTTCTGATGATGAGAAAGAGGGAGAGTTCGTGCAAGTAGAACCTGAACCAGAGTCACCTGAACTAATGAGGAGGCAGATGATCCTGAGTTCGACCCTGGTAGCTTCATGCAGTCGGCAGACAAGAGAGACAACATTCGAAAGGATTAGATTTTATGGTTTTCCTCGTTATGGATTATCAGTTTTAATTACAGTTTATTATTATTACTATTTCAATGTTGAATTAATAACTGGCATGACCACATTGAGTCAGTGAGCTTATGTAGTACATAAGTTTCTAGACCACATATTATTTTGGTAATTCTAATTTATTTTAATTAATAAAAATCCTATTTATTTCTTTGTTAAATTATTTATATTATTGAAAAATAATTCATTTCATTTTCCAAAAATCTTCCATTTCATATCACCAACCTAATAGCCAAAATTACAAGCAAATTAATTCCAATAAATTATTTCTGAGCTATGGGAATTACTTTTTATTATTTATGTGATGATTTATTAAATGCATGGTTAATTAGCAATCAATTATTGATTTACAAAGCTACAAACTCAGGGAATTCTTAGCTTTTGCTATCCCAATTTGTTAGCTTCAGATTTCATTGTGAATGTTTCAAGGGTGTTAAGTGATAGATGAGTGTATGTCTTGAGAGCTAACCAAAGCCATTTCTAATATAAACCCTTGATCTTTATTTAGGAGAAGCAAAATGGCAGGGGGAAGTAATTCTAGTAATGATGGAAACAATTTGAATGAAGTAGTGAGACAATTGGCAGTTGCAGCCCAACAATTGGCTAGGAATTTAACCAACAATGTGGATGCTCAGGGTGAGCTTTTCATAAGGTGGCCCGAAGCAAACCACCAACCTATCAAGGAAAGCCCGACCCTACCATACTAGAAAATTGGTTAAGGGAGCTTGTGAAACTGTTTGGGGCAGTTGGGTGCCTAGAAAATTCTAAGGTGGGCCGTGCTACTTATTACTTGAGAGGTGAAGTTGATCTTTGGTGGCAACAAATGAGAGAACTATTAGAGCGCTACCAGATTCAATTGGACTATGTTCCAAGAGAAGGTGAGAGACAAGTTTTACCCTAGCTTCTTAAAGAAGTAGAAGGCTAAGGAGTTCTTAAACCTCAAAATGGAAGGAATGTCAGTGACTGAATATTATACCAAGTTTATTGAGCTGTCTTATTTTGCTGAAGAGTCCGTCTCTACGGAGAAGGCAAAGGCTTGGAAGTTTGAGAGTGGTTTGACTACTAATTTATAGCTGAACTTGTGTGGATAAGTTTTTGAAACCTTGGATGAGGTATATGCATGGTAGAGCTGCACACTTATATGCCTTAGAGGTGAAGAAAAAGAAGGAATTGGCTAATGTACAAGTGAAAGAAAAGAGGAAAGAGGTGGGACAGAACTCTGGGAACCAACAGGGTAACCAGAATAACTTCAAGAAGCGGAATTACCACCATAACAACAATAACTTCCACAACAACAACAACAACAACAATAACAATTTCCAAGGTAACAATCGTCAAGGAGGACGTAACTTCAATGGAGGGGCTAGGAACAATGACCAAGGGAATAATATAATTAAGAGGTGTTATTTTTCAAGAGATGCAAGAATAACCACCCTAGAAAGGATTGTGAAGGAAATCTTGTTGCTTGTCGTGCTTGCAACAAGTTGGGACATAGAGAATACGAGTGTTTCTCCAAAGGTTCTAATGGGAATAAGAAAAACAACAATTTAGGAGGGACCCAAAGGAACTTTCAGGGAAACAACAATAACTTCAATGGGAATAAGGAGCTCTGCAGATTGGAGCAAAGAACAATAATAACAGCAACAATGGGAACAATCAGTAGAAAAGTGGAGCTGCAAGAATAATGTATGTGTTGAGTAAGCATGAGGCTGGTTCCACAACCTTTAGGAATGTACTTTTAGAGAAAAAAGGAAAAGTGTTTCAATCTAATCTCATCAAGTTTTGGATAAAGGATTTTGATGTCATCCTAGGATTGGATTGGTTGAGCAAGTACAGTGCAGAAATAAGTTGTCGATCGCAGAAAGTGAAAGTGACCACAGGTGAGAATGAGGCAGCGACTTATTGGATGCATGGCGAAACCAAATTCCCTAGGTTGATATATGTGTTAAAGTTGGAAAAGTACATGAAAAAGGGACATCCAGTGCACTTCTATAGTGTGAGAAACATGGATCATGAGGAGGCAACTAAGCTAGAAGATATTGAAGTGGTGAATGAATTTCTGGATGTATTTCCAAATGAGATCCCCGGAATGCCACCTAAGAGAGAAATTTATTTCACCATATACTTATTCCTAGGAACAACACTAATATCAAAGGCACCGTATAGGATGGCACCTGCAGAGATAAGTGAGTTAAAGGAGCAATTGCGAGATTTGTTGGACAAAGGGTACAACAGACCGAGTGCATCTCCTTGGGGAGCACCAGTTCTGTTTGTTAAGAAGAAAGATGGGAGCATGAGGTTGTGCATTGATTACAGAGAGTTGAATAAGGTGACAATAAAGAACAAATATCCACTTCCCATGATTGATGATTTGTTTGATCAGCTTAAAGGTGCAACTGTGTTTTCTAAGATTAATTTGAGGTTTGGATATCATTAGTTGAGGATTGCAGATGAAGATATTCCTAAAATTTCTTTTAAGACAAGATATGGACACTATGAGTTTACAGTAATGCCATTTGGATTGACAAATGCACTGGTAATCTCTATGGATTTGATGAATAGGGTGTTTCATCAATTTATGGATAAGTTTATAGTAGTGTTCATAGATGATATATTGGTGTATTCGAAGAACAAAGAGGAGCATGTAGAACACCTGAGGGCAATTCTGCAAACACTAAGAGAAAATAATCTTGATGCAAAGTTCTCTAAGTGTGAAATTTGGTTAGAAAAGGTAACATTCTTGGGTCATTTTGTGTCTAAGGATGGTGTGGAAGTAAATCCAGCCAAAATCAAAGCTGTGAAGGGTTGGCCTACGCCCAAAACAGTGTCTGATGTTCGGAGTTTCCTAGGTCTAGTAGGATATTATAGGCGTTTTGTGAAAGATTTCTCGAAGATTGCTAAACCTATGACTACTCTAATGAAGAAAGACAAGAAGTTTGAACGGGATGATAAGTGTGAAGAAGCATTCAAACTCTTGAAACAGAAGCTAGTTACAGCACCAATGCTAACACTGCTAGATGAAAGTTGTATCTATGATGTGTATAGTAATGCATCAAAGAATGGTTTGGGATGTGTGCTTATGCAAAATGAAAAGGTGATTGCATACGCATCAAGGCAGTTAAAGACCCATGAAGTGAATTACCCAACCTATGATTTGGAACTTGCTGCAATTATCTTTGCACTAAAGATCCTGCATCATTACTTGTATGGAGTGAAATGTAGAATTTACACATACCATAATAGCTTACTTTTTCACTCAAAAGGATTTAAACTCTCGCCAAAGGAGAAGGTTAGAGTATACAATGGATTATGACTTAGACATACAATATCATGAAGGAAAAGCAAATGTGGTTGCAGATGCTCTAAGTCGTAAAACCAATCATGGATTAAATACCTTGATAGTGGCTGATGAATTATGTAGGGAAATGAGTAAAATGAATTTAGAAGTTATAGAATGTGGAGTACTAGCTGGTATTCTTGCAAATTTAACTATCCAACCAACCATATTCGATGAAATAAGGGAAAACCAAGCAAGAGATGTGAAAATAAAGCAAGGCAAGGCTACAAATTTCAAAATTCATGAGGATGGCAGTTTGAGGTACAAAGGTCGATGGTGTGTACCTCAAAATTGTGAAGAGGTGAAGAGAAAGATAATGGAAAAGGGACACAATACACCCTATTCAGTACACCAGGAGGGGATAAGCTATATAAGGATTTGAAAAAGGTGTATTGGTGGTCTAGAATGAAGAATGAAGTAGCGAAATTTGTAGCAAAGTGTCTGACTTGCTAAAAGGTGAAAATAGAGCACAAGAGACCACATGGAACTGTGCAATCATTGAAAATTCCTAGATGGAATAGGGATTGCATTTCAATGGATTTTATGACTTGCCTTCCAAAATCAAAGAGTGAAAATGACACCATTTGGGTAGTGGTGGAAAGACTTACAAAATTTGCGGTGTTTATACCAATGAAGGAGACTTGGAAGATGGAGTAACATGCAAAAGCTTACATCAATAATGTTGTGAGGTTACGTGGAGTTCCAAAGGATATTGTGTCTGACCGATATTCCAGGTTTCTTTCAAAATTCTAGAAAAGCGTACAGGAAAACTTTGGTATGACACTTAAGATGAGTACATTGTCACCCTACCACAGATGGATAAACTGAGAGAACCATTCAAACCTTGGAATACATGTTGAGAGCTTGTGTTATAGACTTCCAAGGAGGATGGGAGGATAGCTTGGATTTGATTAAATTGTCCTACAATAATAGTTATCATGCGAGCATAGGAATGGCTCCATTTGAGGCATTATATGGGAGAAAGTTATCGTAGTCCAATTTGTTGGAACGATATAAGTGAAACAATGATTCTATGATCGAGGATACAGTGAAGCAAGTAAGGGAAATTCAAGCTAAGATTCAAGCAGCTCAAGATTGCCAAAAGAGCTACGCAGATTTGAAGCGTAGAGAAGAGGAGTTTGATGTTGGTGACAAGGTGCTATTAAAGGTATCGCCAATGAAGGGAGTAATGAGATTTGGAAAGAAAGGAAAACTAAGCCCAAAGTACATTGGTCCATATGAAATACTGCAGAAGATAGGCAAAGTAGCTTATAGGTTAGCCTTACTTATGGAGCTAAGTAAAGTGCTTGATGTATTTCATGTGTCTCAATTAAGAAGGTACATACCTGATAAATCCCATGGGCCACAACCTGAAACCATTGAGCTAGACCAAAGTTTAACCTATGAAGAGAGACCTGTCAAAATTTTTGACAGTAAAGTGTGTAGTACACGCAATAAAAATGTTAAGATTGTGAAAGTGTTGTGGTCTAACCAAGAATATAAGGAAGACACTTGGGAGGCAAAAGAAGAAATGAAAAAGAAATACCCAGAGATGTTTCAGGTATGTTGAGTTACGGGGACGTAACTCGTTTTCTTTTAAGTGGGTAGAATGCGGTAGAATTTCGTGCTTTTTCCCTATATTTTCAGTTATTTTTATGCTTCTTGAACAATTTTATCGAGTATTTTGAGTTGTTGTGTTCACAATAAGACACAAAAAGGTAAAGGTATGACAAAAAATACAGCAATATTATACTAAATAAGGAAAAACTTTTAATTTCGTTTCCCAAGTTTATTTTAAAAACTAATTTAATCCTAGATCTAATAGTTAATTATGAGTTTTGGGATTTGATTTTTGATGTTTGATTATGAGTATTATGTTAATTAATTTTCAAATTATGTTTTTAATTAAAAAGCCCCAATTTTTGAAACTCTAGGTTCTTAATTTATAAATTATTGAACGGTTATGATGTATAATTGTTTAAACCTTTGATTAAAGTGTTGTAAGGCTTAATTACAACAAGTTTTCATTAAAATATAGAGCTGAAATTTTTGGTAGAGCATTAAAAATCAAGTTTTTTCAAGGAATTTTAATTACTCATTAATTGGGATTAAAGTATGATGTTTTAAATATAATTTCATCTTATTTTAATTAAATTACGAGGGGTTTTATAATAGTATATATTGCTTGAAATTTGTGTAGAGAGGCTTTTAATACTCTTCTATGATTTTAAATTGTAGGAGACTTTGAAGTGAGCGATTTCTATTAGTCGTGGCGATTTTAAGATCGTATACAAGGTACGTTCGCATACTTAGCATAATTATGTTAATGTAGTAGCATGCTAAATGTATTTAATTGATTACAAGTAGTATCATGCTAGATTTAGAATGGAAATTATGATTTGGATGTTATTGGTGATTGATTTATAAAGCATGATTTATTTGTGATGGATTAGTGGATGGAAAATAATAGTTTGGAATATTATTTATGAACAACATATTTATTTGTGGCATGTTAGAGAGCATGTTTAATTAAACTAAATGTTTGATTTGGTTTGGAATATTGAAAATGAATTTTATTATAGATCATATAACTTTTATTGATATTGTAAGCAAGAGAAAGGAGCTATATAAGTGTCTATGTACATGATGAAATAATTGTATGTTGGTGCCTTAGTGCACTTAAAGTGTTTTTAACACCGAGGGATAGGATTTGTGGCGCTTTATGCGTTTAAGGTGTCATTGGCACCAAGGTAGAATTAAAAATGGTTCAACATTTAATATTATGTGATCACTAATTATTCAAGAATTAAATTGGTATATTTGATTGTTTGAATGATTATTGTTGATTGAATGATTATGGTTTGAGAGTCATCGCCAAGTTTAATAATTTGTAAATAACATAAAGTGAAAGAGATTACGCACAAAAACTCCTGGAACGTACCTTAAGTATGAACATAGGGGGGAGTTATGGGGTTTTATATTTAACCATAACTTCTACTAGAGTACAGGACGCTATACATTTCTTTTATTATTATTATGCGCAGGAATTCCGCCACCTATGAGTGGTTATTGATGCTGGCACGGTTAGATCCTGTGTTAGTAACCTCAATTTATTTGGGGGAGGTTAGGGGGAAGCCCGTTCGATGCGTAGTCAACATTACATAAATTATGTAGTGTCTATTGAGAACTTTTGTTGATTGTTGTATGAGATAAGTTGTGGGTTGATATGGAATTATATGTTAGTGTTGTGTTAATTACGCTTATGTATTTAGCTTTGCTGATTAAAAGGCTAAAGTTGTATCACCTAATGAAAAGTATTACCTAAATCCTCTAACTAATGTGGATAGGAAAGTAGGGTCGAATCCACAGGGAAACAAGTGTTCTCATTCCTAATTAATTAATATAATCTAAATTATTAAGTAACCAAATTGTTGTGAAGTATATTAAACTAATGAGAATAAAAGTAGGGAAGAATAAAAGTAGGGAGAACGAAATCAATAAAAAAAAGCCTAGGGCATATGTTCACCAATAAATAATATTCCGGGATGAAAGACAACAATCAAGTATCAATGCAAAAAAATTAACCAGATTATAAAGGGCTTTCGCTACGTATTATAATCACCTAATTAATCTACCGGTATTACATCGCATCTCTCGAATGTTGGCTTAACCATTTATAAATTAACCTGCCTATTGAAACTAAGCCTAAATATCAATTCTCATATCTCGAATCTCGAATCAATATTGCTTAACTCATACAATTAAACCTACGCAAGTTTAATTGCATAGCATTAAATCAATCAATAGAAAATCAATCAAGCATTGACAATCAATAATAATAAATTATCTTTTCGTATTAATCATGGATCCCCATAACCCTAGAATTAAACTACTCGTGTATAATTAAAACTAAACTAATAAAAAAGATTAAAGAAAGCATGATAAAGATCAAAGCAATTAAGTAAATCATAATAAAAACAAGAATTAAAGAAAATTACAGAAATAATATTAAACTAATTATGAAAACTATAATAATAAGTAGTTAAAGAAAACAATACGGAATATTAATCAAACTAGTAGAAGTCAACTAATACTACAAAATTGACGAAAAGCGAGTAAAAGCTACGGAGCAATAATCCTAAGTAAATAATCAAATAAAGCTGCCGAAAAGAAACAAAACTAAGTAATGAAAAGCTTTTTTGACCCCAGTAATATTCCATACTTTTATAAGGAATCAAGGATAAAACCCAAAAGCACTAACAGATTGTTTGGATAACGAAAAGGGAAGGAAAAGAAGGGGAGGGAGGAGAAGAGGAGGGGAGGAAAAAAGGATGAGTTTTCCTTTCAAATATCTCCATTGTTGGAGTGATCAATTTCCTACAATTTAATCCTTCCACTTCTCTCCCCTTCAATTCCCACCCTTCCTCATTTGCTATCTAAATGAAAGATACTACATCTCTCAATTTCTCCTCCCTTCCTTTCCCTCCATTTCCTTCAATCCAAACACACCAAAAAAGTCGGAAACCGACATTAGCCTAGTAGCTGAAGTAAGGCCCAAGGAAAAGGGTGCGTCCAGCTGCTAATTTATTTATCTAATCGGGCCCTATTGTTTAGAGTAAGCTCGCGGACTTGATCTTGAGCGCGAACTTGATTGGGCTTCTAAAGCTTGGTCCCAATTTCCTTCCTTTGTTGATTTGTAATGATAACTTGTAAAATCTTGGACCATCTCATATATCGAGCCCTTAATCACCGAACTAAATTTCTTTAACTCGGTCTTGTGCTTTAAATACCCGGCCATAAAATACACTTCAACTCTAATATCTTTGTAGTGGCTCAATATGCTCGGGAATTATTATAATTCTGCAAATTCCTACAAAATAATACCAACTTTACAAAAACACTAGAAAACGTATATTAGTAATAAAAATAGCTCCACAGAGCTCAAATAAGCATAAATATGACCGTGGGACGGGGAATTAAAAATATATAAAATAGACTCATCAAACTCCCCCAATCCAAACCTTTGCTTGTCCTTAAGAAAAGCAATGAACAAATAAATCAATACTTTACCCCAAAAATATTTTAAATCAAAAAATATAATTCAAGGTAAATCTGACAAACATGTATCAAAGTCAACCAATCAAATCCATCCAACTACCAATCTTCCCTAACAATTGTCAAATAGAGCAAACCACAAGAGCATATATAATTCAAGACTAGTTCTCACACACTTAACTCTCATTTATGTGGCAAGTAAAAGATGTACTCGATCGCTCTCCAACCAACCCCTTTTATGTGAACAATGCCCTCCCAACTCACGCACTCGTGTGTTTAAAAGACATGCACTCAACCTAATAGTCGACTCAAAATATATCAAATCATTCTTTGCATTGATAAACGACTAATTTCATATTCATACAACTCTATGCACAAAGGTCAGAAGGTCTTCAAAGCTTGTAATATAAGACTAGGGTAAAGGGTACGAAGTATTTGGGAAAATGTGAGAGTAAAGCCATGCTTAAAAGAGCCAAATTCCTAATAAAACCAAGGCCAAAAATAAATAATGACCAAAAGATCTCCAACACAATTCAACTCTACTCTACAAAAATTCACCAAACAACTAATTATATAAAAAAAATTCCCAACACTTACAACTCCACTCATAAAAATATGATAATATAGAACTTGAGTGAAATAACAAACCTTAAACAATTTTTTTTCATCAAATTTGAATTTTTTTATTTGATTTTTTTTCTTAAGAAACCTTCAATTAGAACACTTGAACATTGAAACAATTTTTTTTTTCTCTTGCTCTTTTTTTTCCTTTTTATCTCACACTGGAATTTTTCAAATTTTGAACAACAAATTCTCATTTTTTTCCAATCATAACATAAGAACAAATAACTCCTCTTATTCACCCACATTGTGCAAATTATGTGCATACTACAACTCCCTCACCATACTAACTATTAGCTCCCCCAAGTCAAGCTTGGGACTAGTAACCAATGGGGCTCAAATAGGCTTGTAATGTGGCTAAATAAATAATGAAAGGGCACAAGCAACAACATGGGTAGCAAGAAGGGAACAAATGTATCTAATATCATCTGAAAGCCACCTAATAGAATAAACCCCTTCGTCCTCCTCAATGTGCATAATAATGAGTCATATAAATATTAATTATAGTTAAAAAACCAATAGTCAATTTCATTGACATACCAGGAACTAACACACATTCCTAACCAAATCAACTAGTCAAGCACTATATTCAAAAATAGTTGGACAAGATTGACGCATGTTAAGGTTCCAAGGCAATTAAACATCAAATCTTGATCAACTAATTTACAATATTTATCATCATATACTAAGAATCAAAACAATTTCAAAAAGTTTTCATCAAGGGGCACAAGGAAGCATGATATATAATGCACTGGAATGTATTTTTGTGTGTTTTTTTTTTATTTTTTCAATTTTTTTGTATTTTTTCATTTTTTGAAGCAATAAAATCTATACTATAAAAGTAATAAAACTAAACTAAGAAAGCAAAGAAACTAAACTAAATACACCAAAGAAAATAAAAAGAAATGGGAAAGAAAGAGTACCTATATATACAAGATATCCCCCCAAGCTAAATCAGACAATGTCCTCATCGGCTCATAGGGAAACAAGTAATCCAAGTGACTACCCCTCATCATCAAACTCGATGCAATGCATCACCTTAGTACAATTTTGGACAAAAAAGAAGCAAAGTGTTAGTAAGAAAAAAGGCAAAAACGAGTTAGGTTTACTATTTTGCTTATAACTTTTTTTTATACAAATGATAATGGAGTGATTCTAATTGCATGAAAAAGTAGACTAGAAGATCTTTCGAATGATAAGTCACACGGAAAATTTCGTTAAGAAACGCAAAAGTTATGACGTTTTGAAGTTGGCCAGTTTTGCTGCCGCAGGCCCGACTCCAAGGTACGGTCAGGTGGTTTTTCACCATTTGATGGATGAAATTTCTTCCTACACTCGATTTTCTTCGTTTTTACCCTTGATTGAGCAAATATCACTCGATCGGGTGGAACTTTCACTACGGGCCCAAACTCTACATCTTGTTTCTCAATCTCCACTTGTTCATCTTCAAACCCGAGCCCTACACAATTTAAAGCTCTTTTTATAGCATCCACTTCATCTTTCCAAGTACTAGTTTTTCCTGCAGAAGATGCAACACAAGATATCGCCTCCAAGGGATCTCTAACGGGAGCTTGGGGCTTATTAGAAAAATTATTTACATCAACCACACCAATACTAAAATACTTTTCCTCTAACATGGGACTTTTAGGGACATTATTTAGATTAAAACTGATATTATCATCCCCTACACATAATGTAAGATTACCACTTTTCACATCTATTATCGCGCCTGCAATATGAAGGAATGGTCTACCCAAAACAATCGGAATTTGCAAATCTTCCTCCATATCAAGAATAACAAAATTAACAGGTATATAAAATTTACCTACTCTAACTGGAAGATCCTCTAAAACACCTATAGGGTATTTAACAGAACGATCGGCCATTTGCAGAGTAATATTAGTAACTTTTAATTTACCCATATTTAATTTAGAGCTCACAGATAATGACATAACACTTACACTAGCACCCAAATCACATAAAACTTTTTTAATCATCAGATTACCAATATGACATGGAATAGAAAAACTACCCGGATTTTTAGTTTAGGTGGAGATTTATTCTGTATTATAGCACTACATTCTGCAGTAAAAGAAACCGTCTCTATCTCACTAATAGATCTTTTTCTAGTCAAAATTTCTTTCATAAATTTAGAATATGCAGGAACTTGAGTAATTAAATCTGTGAAAGGGACTGTTACCTGTAAATTCTTCAAACCTCCAGAAACTTACCAAATTGCTTATCCAACTTACTCTTTAAATGTCTATCAGGGAATGGAAGTTTGATAGCAAGACCCTAGACATCTCCACTCTTATCCTGGGGTTTACCCTGCAAAGAATTATCAGAAGAGTTAGTTTTTCCTTGTAGCCCAACAGGTCTAGTAACAACATTGTTTGGTTTAATAGAACCAAGATTAGCCATTTTTGTTGTAACAAGTTCATCATCTTTGGGCATAGGAGTCTCATCATAGTGTGTACCACTCCTCAGGGTAATTGCATTTGCGTATTCTGTTATTTGTACTAGCTGTGGTGGTAGGGCTTCATGCTGGTGAGTTTGCATAGTATAGGAAACTTGCGCAATCTGAGTATCTATTATTTTATTATGTGCTATTAATGAGTCAATTTGCGCATCTCACTCTGCATCTGCTTCTGCATATTGGGTAACATCGTTTTGATTTCTAATAGGCCAGAATCAAATAGAGGAGCAACAACCTGTTGTGGTCTCTGATGTGGAGGTTAGTAGTACCTCTGTTGTGGTCTCTGATGTGGAGGTTGGTAGTACCTCTGTTGTGGTTGTTGTACCTGTGGTGGAGGGTTAAGCACATTCGTGCTATTGTCGACATATTTTGGTTATTTTTCAACCCTGCATTGTAGGTGTTAGAGTATGAACTAATTTTCTTATAGGTCTCTGATGTGGAGGTTGGTAGTACCTCTGTTGTGGTTGTTGTACCTGTGGTGGAGGGCTAAGCACATTCGTACTATTGTACGACATATTTTGGTTATTTTTCAACCCTGCATTATAGGTGTTAGAGTATGGACTAATTTGCTTATAGGTCTGAAAAGCATTAATCTTCTCAAGTGAACTCCTACAGTCCTGTGCCCAATGACCTACAAGACCACAATTTTCACAAAATATTGCAGAGTTAGTACCAATAGCAGATACATTAGCAACGAAAGATGAATTAGAATTGATTAGGGGATTTTTATCCTCCAATCACCGTCTGACAAGTGGACCAACCAGGTTCCGCCACGTGTCCTTCACGTAGGCCAATAGGAGCCTGCCACGTGTCAATCACATATACGTCCTCTACGGACTAATCGAGGCACGCCACGTGTCCACCCATGCCAAATGGGAAAACCGGCCAACAAGGCCCAATCCTGTCTAGAGGCCCGGTCAGCCCTAGGTTTACCCTAAACCTAGAGAGTGGCACGCTTCTCAAGACTATAAATACTTAATTAATCCTCATTAAAGAGGAGATCAAGAAATCAAGCAAACATCAAGCAATTAATCTCATCTGAAGAACAGAGAAGAACAGAAACATTACGGAACACTAATAACCGGCTAATCTCGCTAACAAAGCAGATTACCAACATTAAACACTCTCACCTAGAGAGATCTTATTACTTTAATTTCCGTATTAATTACTCCTTAATCAGGTACTAACTTGACCGTTGGAGGCGGAGCTCTCAGGAGTCTCCGTTATTTTGCAGGTACAGGCGTCCGGTTCCAGTCTCGGAATTGTAACTCTCCCGCAGGACATCAGAAAACCCCGAAACATTTGGCGCCGTCTGTGGGGAGAGTACTTCAGAGATGGCATCCAAGTCTGTACCGACTCCTGAAGAGAGGCGTCCCCTAAACGACCCTCAAGTTCAGTCGGACCATGACACCGAAAGTGAATTTGAAGTTGAAACTCATACAGCTCCAGACGGGACCCTAAGGGCCCGACGTACCCGTCATACCGAAAGGAGGGAACGGGAGCATCTTCAAACAGGAAGCGAGCCAGCAGGCGCACCGCCTGCTCGGCAACAGCCGACTGATGGGTCTGCTCCCATCACAAGGAACGAACTCATGACCTTCATGAGGGACTTCAAGGGAGAGATTCAAGAGTTGATCAACAAAAAGCCTCCTGCTTCAGTCAAAGAGCAGTCGGCCAAAAAACCTTCCACTTCACTGAAGAGGAAGCCAGTTCAAGGGCGAGAGGCGACTCCTCATCCTAAATCCAAGAAGCGGGAGCCACCTGCTCTTGTTTTCACAAAATTCCGTTATCCTACGGGAAATAGGAAACCGGTTCGTCATATTCAGGCGGACGGGTCAAAGCAAACGTTCACAGATGCTCGGCTACTGCTAGAGCAGAAGAAGAGTGACCGATTGTCAGAGTCGGCTTCTACTTCAAATTTTCAAGACAGTTTGCGAAATGCCTCGATGAGGCATACTCATTCGTACCATGAGAGTCAGTCAGGCGGCACCTCCCGTCAGTCCGGCTTTCATAGTGCCCAGGCGGTACCAAACTTACCATTTGTACCGCAACAACAGTATTTTATGCAGCCACCTCCATTTGGTGGACCTGCAGCAAAAAACGTCCAACCTATGGACTGGCAGCTACGGTTGCTTAGACTTGGTGAACAGCCGTCGGCTTTCTCCAAGGAAATTACTGAAGCCGCTCAGCCGGCAAAAGTAAAAAATGTACTAGTAGGCGCCTATGACGGCACTACTAACCCAGAAGACCATCTGATGGCATTCACCAACCTGATGTACCTTCAAGGGTTGGATGATCCCACTTGGTGCAAGTGTTTCCCAGCGACTCTCAAGGGAATTGCACAGCAATGGTTCGACAATCTGCCGACTGGTTGTGTAAACAGCTTCAGGACGCTTGCTTACTTATTTGCCTCCAACTTCGCCATGAACATCCCTGCGAAGAAAACGACCCTTGATTTGGGAACAATTCAGCAGGGCGAGAAGGAGGGGCTTCGTTCTTACATCAGGCGGTTCAACCTGATGAGAATACAGATTCAAGGGTTACCGGATGAGGTAGCTTATACTGACTTTTTTAGAGGTCTCAAAGACGGGACTACCTTCAAATTTGATTTAGTTCGAAAAAGGGTGGCGACTCTTCAAGAGGCCTTGATTGAAGCAGAAGCCTATATACAGGCGACTGATCTGTGTACGATAAAACAGTCGGACGGGAAAAGGTTCGACAAAAGAGAAGGACGACAGAAACAGTCGTCTAACAAAGATGAGAAAAGAAAAGAGGTCTGGGCGGCTGATTCCTCTAAACAGCCGGCCTAGAAAAAGAAAAAAGAATTCAAACCATACTCCCCAAAGTATGTGTTTAACAAGGATAACCAGTTTATCCTAAAAGAAATAAAGGGACGGTTCTCAATTGAGAAGCCGGTCCCCATGAAGGGTTCTGCAAACAACCGGAACCAAGACAAAATTTGTGCTTATCATGATGACGTTGGTCATCACACCAATGATTGCATCAGTCTCATGCGGTACCTAGACCGCCTGGCTGAGCAAGGTGATCTTGACACTTATGTCAAGAAATCTACGGGGAACACTTCCTCAAAAAAGCAGTCGGCCAAAAAGAATCAACAGGCCGACAGTTCCGATACAGATGATGCAGTCGTCTACACCATTGCAGGCGGCTTCTCAGGAGGCGGCCCCACTATTAGGGGCAACAAAGATAATATAAGGCGGTTAGATGTAAATTCCGTTTACCAAGAACGGCCGTCCAAATATACATTTCCTGAGATTGTCATCACTGAAGAGGATCTAGGAGGGGTAAGGGGGCCGCATGATGACCCTCTCGTTATTGAATGTAAAGTGGCCAACCAGAGAGTTGGCCGAATCCTCATAGATACCGGGAGCTCCTCAGATCTCATCAGCAGCAAATGTCTGTCAAAACTGAAATATCAGACGGACTGCATACATCCGGCCTCCCACCCTTTAATAGGGTTTGGAGGAGGAGTCGTCCACCCACTGGGACGAGTAGATTTACCCATTCGCCTGGGCGAAAAAGGGGAAGGACGACACATGGTAGTCCGGTTCCTAGTAGTAGAGGAACTCTCGGCCTACAACATGATTCTGGGTCGACCAACCCTGAATAATTCCAAGGCTGTTATAATCCCGTCTCTTATGCTGCTTAAGTTTGAGAGAGATAATGGAACAGTCGGCTCCCTAAGGGGAGATCAGAGGATGGCCCGAGAGTGTTATCTCTCGGATGTCAAGCCCACTGTTATGGCCACTGGGTCAAGTGGAGAAAAAACAGACCTTGACAATGTCAAGGAGAGTGCGCCTGTTCAAGAAACAGGCGACAAAAAGAGAAAGGCGTCCCAGACAGAGTCCGCAAGAAAAGCAAGAAAATAGCAATCATTGGCAGAGGAGCGGCCGGATGAGTTCCGCCCTCAGCCGGCTGGTGAGCATGCGGACCTTATCTTAGACGACTCACGTCCTGACCGAACAGTCAAAGTTGGGACGACTGCTCTGAGAAACCTTGGTGACGATTTTCACAACCTATTGAAAGAATACAAGGACATCTTTGCATTTGAAGTCCATGAAATGCCAGGCATTAGTCCTGATCTGGCAGTACATAAACTCGCTGTGGATCCGAAAAAGAAGCCGGTACGGCAAAAGAAGCGGAACCATGGCGAAGAAAGAAGTCAGGCGGCAGCCGCCGAATTTTTAAAAATTACTTGATGCAGGGTTCATTCGGCAATGTTACTTCCCAGACTGGGTTGCAAATGTGGTGCTTGTTAAAAAGCCGAATGGCACCTGGCGAATGTGTGTAGACTACACAGACTTAAACAAGGCGTGCCCCAAAGACAGTTACCCTCTGCCTAAAATTGATAATCTGGTCGACTCAACAGCCGGCCATGCCTTGATGAGTTTCATGGACGCCTATTCTGGTTTCCATCAAATTCCCTTATGGAAGAAAGATCAGGAGAAGACGGCCTTCGTCACTGATCAGGGGTTATACTGTTACACGGTCATGCCGTTTGGTCTTAAGAATGCCCCGGCTACCTTCCAACGAATGATAAACACTGTGTTTTTTTATCAGATTGGGAGAAACGTCGAGGCATATATTGATGATATGATTGTCAAGACTAAACTTCAGAAAGATCATCTGACGGACCTCCGAGAAACTTTCGCCACACTCAGGCGGCACCATGTCATGCTCAATCCCAAGAAATGTGTATTTGGATTGAGTCTGGGAAATTTCTCGGATTCCTTATCAATCAAAGAGGAATAGAGGCGAACCCTGAGAAGGTGCAGGCGGTCATTGACATGCAGTCGTCTCGTACCATCCGAGAGGTTCAGAAGTTAACAGGTTGTCTAGCGGCCTTGGGGAGATTCCTAAGCCGATCAGGCGACAAATGCCTATACTTTTTCCAGGCAATTAAGAAAAAGGCAAGGTTTGAATGGGGGCCGGATGCTGAGGCCGCCTTCCAGAAATTAAAAGTTCACTTGCATTCCTTGCCGAGGCTGGTCAGCCCTTTGCCAAAGAGGATCTCTACATGTACCTGGCCGTCTCTGATCATGCGTTAAGCGCTGTGCTCCTTGCTGAAAGGGACGGCTGTCAGCTCCCGGTCTACTTTGTCAGTCACGTACTGAAAAATGCCGAGTTGAGGTATCCCCTAGTGGAGAAATTTGGTCTTGCACTCTTCATGGCTGTTAAAAAATTGAAGCCCTACTTTTTGGCACATGCAGTCGTCGTGTATACCAACCAACCAATCAAGCGGCCCCTTACCATCATGGAGTCGTCAGGACGAATGATCAAATGGGCCATAGAAATACAGAGCCTCGAAGTTACTTTCGAGCCTAGAAAAGCAGTGAAGGGGCAAGCCTTTGCTGACTTTATTGTAGAGATGACTCGTCCTCCTGACTCTCAAGTTCCAGACCAAGTATGGAAGGTATATGTGGACGGAAGCTCTACTTCAAATGGTTGTGGAGCAGGCGTCGTATGTCA